AAAGTTCAGAACCAAAAATTACATAAGATTCAAGCAAACTGTCACAATCTACGACCAAGTAACTAAGAGCAAACCAAGATTACCACAAAATTAATACTCGTGCACAAAAAGGATTATCGACTTCTCCAATAGACAGTACATACCAATAATAAAACCACCATAATGTGGAAGCAGGACTTCCACCAAGGGGATCCAAAAAGTAACAAAAGTAAACACACAAATAAACTAAGAGGATTCAACATCTAATACATACTTAAACAATTTGACCATATACACGCATTGTAAATTTTCGGCAATGGGGTTCGGAAGAATCCCTTCCACCCCCTTACTCCAACCAGTCCTCACTTCACAAATTAATTGGTGTCAGCAAAATGAATTTTTCCTCTTCAAGATCCTCTAGTCCGACTAATCCGGATCGGCCCCGTTAAAAACCCAACATTGCATTAAGTTTCCCAACCTAAGACAACTCCATTTCAAAGCTCAAAACCTGTGACCTCTGATTAAAAGTAAGAACCTTTAACATTCCACTTCCACCACACCCCTTCACCAAAGGTGGTGGATCCTCTTTATAGATCAATTACAATTTCTAATAGCAAGAAGATATCTCCCCCTCCCCTTTCCCCCCTCAATAAATTTAACAACAAACCCAAATCAAATTTCAAAAGAAGCAAAATTTTCCAGAAAATGAACACACCCAGATCAAATTTCATTTAAAAGCTAACAACTTGATTCCATATTCAGCAAAAACAAAGAAAAATACAATTTTTGGATCACCTGATCGTCTCTAAATGCTAATGTAAAACAGAAATAATACTAAGTATGAGCTCAATACATGAATTTATAGATTAAAAATCATATAGATTCAAAACAAAATTAGCGTATAAAACACGTAAAATCAAGATTCAAGATCTCTAATCACACCAAACATACCAACTAGAGAGATAAAAAAGTGATCTTTGAACATAAAAAGAAAAAAAATGAAAAAATCAAAGCTTATGAGCAACTCTAAAAAGACCCCACAACAGATCTGAATCTATTTTTTCTCAAAAAGAAAATTGAGCAAAAAAATATTGCATTACCTAAGTGAATATTGAAATCTTGAGGGAAATGATGACACTTATTGTAAAATGAAGAGATATATAAAACCCAACAGAAATTGGGTAGATGGTGGGGAGTTCTAAATAATTGCTGGGTAGTTAAAAAAAAAATCTGAAATTTTCTGGTTGAAAATAAATAAATAAATATGTTATCTTTTTTTTGTTTTCAATTAATTTATCTAATTTAATTTAATACAAAGTTTACAAAAATATATTTTTCATAATATAAAATTAAAATAAATCAACCGTATCAAAATGTTTAATTAATTTTTTAAAATGAAATTTAAATATTATTGGAGTACTATATTGTAATTAATATGCCACGTTGGTTACCTTTCATTAACGTAAACAAAATTAAAATGTTCACGTTATTTTTCCGATTAGAACGAAACAGCATTAGCTATGTACTTGGCTAAAATAGTATTCGATTGGTCACATAATCTACCTAATATCATTTGGTTGGGTACAAAATTACTTTTATTAAAAAAGAGACTTTCGAGTATTTTGTTCTAAAATAAAATTTAAATATTTGTGTGACTATAAATTATTTCATTAATGGTCGTTTGGCGTAAAGGATAACACCAAATACTTTTGCAATTAAATTATGGTGTCATTTAAATTTTTTGTTTGGCTAACAAGTCTGAAATAACTTATCTCGAGATTAATAATTAGTAATGACAAAGATATCATTTTAAACCCTTTTTATATATCACTTTCACATTCATGTATTTTTGCATTATTTTTTACACCATGTATAATAACATTCACATTCCTCACCACTCCTTATTATTACAATAATCCTTCAATTTTTTCTATTAAAAGATTACACTATGTAAATATAAATTTTATTTATGAATTTATTTGACCAATTCTTATGTTTATTTTGATTTCTCATAAATCCTCTTTTACTTCAACAAATTTAAAATGAAAGTTCTATTTTAAGCTAAATAAAGAGAAAATTTATTTTTAAATATATATATTGTACCATCGTGAGAATGCACACACAAAAATATTTAAGTTAAATGAGATAAAAGTTTTATTTGAGAAAATATAAAAAACTAAATAAAGTTCAAACACTCAATAAAAAGTTATCACAAATCTCATCACAACTTATCTCATAACAACTTGTATTCAGACCAAACAATCCTTAAGAATACTACATTTTTAAAGTTAAGTTATTTTTAATTATTGAAAGATGATACTTTCTTTGGAGAAAAAATAGAATAAATTTGTGTTACATAAGTTGAGATTAAGGGAGTAATATTTTAGTTATTATATACAAAATTCAACACATCAACATAGAAGATAAATAATACATGAATAAAGAAATTTTACATAACTAATTCATATGTAACTTTAAGCAACAACCAAACAATCTACTATAATTTCACCCTTAACTAAAGATTTTAAGATTGAGCTTTGAGTATAAATTTTATCTGCAAAAAGTATGATCTCACTTTTGATAAACTTACGGTAACAGTGCAAATTAATTCGGACTCTATTAAAACTATTAAACATTACGTGAATCAAAAGACAAAGTTTGATATTACTATACTTTTCATCAACTCAAGAAAAAGTCCAAACATGTCTGTCAAGAAAGTTCTTATTTTTTTATTTCGCTTTCGCTACGGCTACAGTCAAGTGGCTCATCATATATATTTTTGTACGGATATATATGGACGGAGCTACTAAAAATTTAGGGATATATTCATAAAAAAATATACGTACTATTTATTTATGATTAATTGTGAATTGTGAGATTTTTAAGTTTACGTTGGGAAGGGATTGTACACAGTGCCAAAGAGGGTTATAAAACATAGATGAAGCCAAATTTGGAATTTTGTAAGTTTGCTTACAATTTATACGTGAGTTTAAATTAAAGTTATGGAGTTAAAATGAATCCTAATATTTTAATTATTTCAATTTAATTATCTTATTTTCTTTTTAATTTGTTAAATTTTTTAAAATTTAAATTCAACCGTTCTTTATATCTAACATTATACATGATATATTAAAGATGATACAATTCAAAAATTTAAAATCAATTTTATTGATTTCACTTTCTATTAGTGATATGATCTTTATAATTTCAATTTTTGACTCAATTATCGTATATTTCTATCGAACCTTAAATATTATGATTTTATATGATTACAATAAAAAAAAAATATTTAACTAAACCGATACAAAGAGATGAAAAAAAACAGGTTGATATATCATCTAGAATGAACCCTCAAATTAAGAAGGAACAAGTATTACTCTAGATATAGTTTTTCACATTAAACTATTAAACTAAAAATATATATTGATATTGACTTTTACTTGTTTATAGGGATAGCATGGAAAGTTGAGTGTATTTTTGGAGTAACAGAAGAATTTTCCGTAACTAAATAGTCGGTGCTTTTAGGAGTCATTTGATTTGAATATGTTAAAATGGAATAAGTTGTCTTGAAATTAATTCTTATTGAGTGTTAGATTTATTGTATTTATAATAATATGCCTTGTATAAAATTTAAGAACAAGTAAGTTGTTTACAAATATAGCTTATGAATGTGAAAACTGAAAAGTGATGTATAAAAAGGATTTAGAAGGATATTTTTATCATTTATTTATTTTATTTCGGGATAAGTAGGGGCGTGTTTCGTATTCAATTCAGGATTTCTAAATTTTGATTTCGATAATTGGTAGTTAAAAGTAGATACTAAATACCAAAATTTTAAATTTCGGTTCGATAATCAATAAATCAAACTTCGATTTTGTATGATATTTGGTAAAATCGTATTGAATTTGTAGTCGATTGCATTACAAAGCTAATATTATTGCTCCAATTATTTCTATTTTTTATGTGGATGCGCGATATAATAGAAGATCGGCAAGTAAGAATACATTAAGAAAATTAAATTGACACAACTAAAAGACATATGCATTTATGTTGTATGTGTTTAGTATTTAACTTTTTCTTTGAACTTGTACTAATGAGTTATGAGCCTGTTAATATATGACATTCATTAAGTAAACAATTTTGTGTTCGGGAAAAAATATCGAATACCAAATGATTCTAATGTCTTTTACCAAACTCAAAAACCTTAATTCTAAAATTCTACTCTCCAATACCATATCAATACGAATTACCTGATATCAAATTACCAAGAAATTTGATTCGATTCGGTAATTCATTTAACAATATTTTATGCCCAACCATAGGGATAAGTTATCCCGAAATACTATACCACCCAAGCGTTAGAGAAGGAATAACTTACAAACAACAAATTAAATAACACCATAATTTAATCTTAGGATTATTTGCAATATCCAAAAAATTATAATGATAGCAATTAAATTAGACAAATAAATTGAAATATAATTGTCTCGTGTTATTATGAAAACATGAAGTGGCTGTAGTTTAGTGGTAAGAATTCCACGTTGTGGCCGTGGAGACCTGGGCTCGAATCCCAGCAGCCACATTTCACTTTTACTTTTTTTGGTTTCAGTTTCGTATTTTTGGTTCACTTGGATACTTTAATAAAACCCAAATCCCATTATAAACTTTTTTTTTAAATCTCTCTCTCTGCGATCAGTTCGAACAGCAGGCTACTATTTTTTTTCAACAAATCCGATTCGACGTATTAATCAATCGAAGGTACAGATCTCGATCTATTGAATTTATACAGTTTCATATTTTTAATTCAGTTTTGATGTTTACAACTCTATGATTTTGTGTGTGTTATGTATAGATCTGGATTTACATGATTTCAATTGTTGGAAAAGTTTGGTTTTGTTGTCTGTTGTTCTGTGTGTCGTTTTCGTCATTGATCTTGATTTTGTTTGCTTCTTACATGAATGGAGTTTTGATCGGTGAAGTGGTACCCATTTCTGATGAGTTTTTTTGTCCCTTTCGATGGTAGCGGAAATTTTGGTAAAGGATAGTTATGAGGAAATTGAGAAGATTGTAATAAAGTGATCACATAGCGGAGTGGATATCGCGTTAGACTCCGAATCTAAAGGTCGTGGGTTCGAATCCCACTGTGATCACTGCCTACTTTTTTTTGTTTCATAATTTGTGTTTGGTTTTGGAGATTGGTGTGAGTTTACATATACTTGGTTCCTGTTTGGGGAGTAGATTTTCAAATTTTTGTTTGAATGCATTGTTTGTTCATGATTTTCAGTGAAATTTCATTTCAATTCACAAAACTTCAACATTTTTCTAAGTAAAAAATGAAAGTCCAAACACAACTTCAAGTTCCAAAAGCTATTTTTTCAACAAACTTCAAAACTCTTTCTTATTCGAGTTTTCAGTAAATTTATTGTTAAACGCTAGGTTAGTTAGATTCTTTCAGAAACGTTGCTTTTGCTATCTGTTCTTTTGTCTTTCTCAATGTTAGTGGAAGAGTAGTGATGAAATGTATAAGGGAATGGAGGGATGGTAACAAGTGATCTCATAGCGGAGTGGATATTGTGTTAGACTTATGATCTAAAGTTTGTGGGTTTGAATCCCACTGGGATTGCTTTATGCCTTCGTTAGCACCTGTTTTGTTTTTGGTTTGGGAATTGCAGCCGAGGGTCTATCTGAAACAACCTCTCTACCTCCCAAGGTAAGGGTAAGGTTTGTGTACACTCTACCCTCCAAGACCTCACTTGTGGGATTACACGGGGTATGTTGTCGTTGTTGGTTTGGGAATTGCTTAGTGAAATAAAAATCTTTCTAATATAAAACTATAAATAAGTTTTACTTGCTTGTTTGGATATATAAGTTTGAGGCAATTGGTTTGAGAGACTGTTACTAGCTGCCTCCACTGCATATGTTTTTAGTTATGAACTTGGTACAACTGCTAAGTAAATTTTCGTTTTGATTTGAGCATATTACTAAATGATATGTGTAAATTATGGCACCAAGATATTTCTATTGGGAATGCAGGTTGGTTTCCACTTAATTAATGGTTTTATTCCTATAATCATTGCCTCGGCATGAGAGATGTTTGTGGAGTGAAATTATAGGCTAAGTTTCCCCTTCTCTGTTCTATTGGTTTAGGCGTTTGTTTGTGTCACATGCTGCAATAGTCTTCCTTTACTTTATTTAGGGGGAAAGTACATGAAAATCTCAAGGGTGTTACTTGAGTATTTGAAGGAATAGGAGCAACTTTACCTTAACATTTTCAACAAGTATGTCTACCATGATGCTAGGTTTGTGAATTTTGATTAAATCATTCCCTACAGAAGTGTTAGGCTGTTACAGTAGGATTGACGTCTGATTTTGGAAGATACATAAGGTACATTGAGACAGAATTTTAAAGGTATCAAAGTGGTTATAGATTGTGAAACATGTGTATAGAGCAGTGTGAAGCTTCAGAGTTCTGAGCTGAACAAAATGTTGTGCATATTATAGGGTACCTAACTTGTCCAATGAGTCTTTTTTCTCTAGTGGTAAAGAGGAGGACAATACCTTGAGGTTGTGTTTCTTAATTGTTAATGAAAACAACGTAGTATCATGATTCGTTAACTCTAATACTGTCATTGATCGTTGACGTAATTGTTCACTTATTGCTTTTCAGTAACTTGGCTCAACAACTTGGACTCTCATCAGAACATTGATTATACAAGGAGGGAGGGGATGTACTGTCGATGACCCCCTAAAAATAACCCAACCTTTGAATGTAGGGCGATAAGCAAATCAATTGAACTCAATTTCAAAAAAATAAGATACACAAAAATATTATGTAGCTTAGGAAATCAAGATTATTCCATTAGAGTTTGTCCTTATTAGAGAAACAAAAAGATAATCTAGTTTTGCATAGACGGGTTTAAATTCTTAGTAGTTGTTTTGTGCTATACCAATATTCTAACTCCAAAAAGAATCGAATGTTGCTTGTCTCATGATAATATTTTATTCATTTTACTGGGTAACTTGATAATGGGACTGATGAAAACTAGAGATCATTGCAGGAACTGAACGATTGTGTTTTAGTTCAATAGCTTTCGTGAATGGGTTATCAACTATCATCTATTACATGTTCAATGTTTTTCAGTTTGTGGTTGTCGAGGAATTCTGTCTTGCACCTTATTTCTGATTTAGTTTCTGAAATCATAAAGCTGTTCTTGCAAACTTACTGTTGTGTAAATAAACCAATGTAATACTTTTCATTTGGTTCTAACTGTTGGCTCTTCAACTTTGTCTTGCAGATAATGGATGATCAAGATTTAGGATTCTTTGCTAACTTTCTTGGCATCTTTATTTTCGTATTTGTTATTGCTTATCATTATGTAGTGGCTGATCCCAAGTACTTGGGCAACTAACTGATTCTGATGATCCCCGTAGTGAGTAGTAACTTTTAATGAGCTCAAGATGAATTTCATTTTTATCGTTTATTATCACCAGCCAGTTCTTGCCTAAATATTATGAGATCGGATATTTGGTCTGAGAAAGTCGAAGTTTTAGTTGTTCTCTCCTATTTTGTGAACCTGATAGCTCTTGTTCTATTGCAAATATTCTTAAGAAAATGTGCTGATAGTCGGGTTAGACCTATCAGAAACAACCTCTACCTTTTTAGGTAAGGCTGTGTACAATTCACACTTCCCAGACCCCAACACAAATGGTTATAAGCTTTAACCAGTCTTCTTTAACTTGCTAATATCTTTTGTAATCTCTGAAATATTCTTTTCATTTGATTATACTTTAGGTCTTGAACCAAAGGAGCGTCAATTGTTTCTCAGAAATAATGGTGGTTGAAAATGAAAGTGAAATTTTAACGCTTACAAAATTTCTAGGGATAATTGGTCGTCTTTGACGACTTAAATTCTCATTCCCCATGACTTGCTTAACAGCTTAGTCAAATGTAGAATTATTGTCAATCTTCCAGAACTCATACTGTCATCCATGAACCAAAAATGATTTAAAAGATATTTTTATTTTTTTTACAAATAAAATAGTATTTATATTTACTTCATGCCAAAAATATATTTAAGACGTCTAAATATTATTATTTGAGATGTGCCTAACTTTTTAAATAATCATGGTGTCTGAATAAGTTTGAGAAGGTATCTGCTACATCTCTAATTATTGTGAGAACATAGAATAAGAAAAGTAGTAGTAGCAAAGATATCAGATCCACACCACCAAAGGATGTCGCAATGGATTTCTTCTTCTTTAATCAAAGGTCTCGATTTTAATTCTTGGACATGGAAAAATCTTGTGTGCTACCCCCAAATGGGAGCTATTCAATACAAATTCGAATCAATTGAGCTCCCATGCAGTATCAAACATCAAATGAGAAAAAATAAATAAAATTATAGCCACACCACTCAATTTTTTGTTTACGCATCTTTGGTCAAATTTTAGTAATTATCAACTATAATTGACGTGAAGAAAAAATAAATTTAAAATATTAATTTATTTTTAATTTTGCACATTAAATCGAGAACCATTGATAATAAAACTTACAACCCGGAAACCCGACAAGAGTGAGGAAAAGCCCAGGAACATGAATCCGGCGAATCCAAAGGCTATTGAGATATCTGATTGAACGCAGAATGCATTGCTAACCGTACACGTGTCCATCTCCTTCAAAATTCGAGCCAAGGACGTTCCCGCCGATCCGGCCGACAGCAACAGGTACGCAAATACCTACAGGCAAAAAAGAGAGCTAATAATCAAAAACACATTCAAAATATTCAAATTTTTTCAAATTTCATACCTAAACTATCAAGTTAGCGAGAGTTTCTTGACTGAGCTAGATAAATTGTTCTCTTTTGCTACCTCAAATGTCATTATAATTCAGTTATGAAACTCGAAAAATTGAAATTCCACTCAAAATGAGGCAAAATTAACTTGGTGTTTCACAAATTTCTGCAGAAAAAAGCTAAATGATCGCCATTAAAGTGAAGGATTTACGAACCTGATCGTGGCCGAAATCGAACCAAACTTGAACGACTTCAGGGAAAACAGTAGCGCCTCTTGAAATCTCCCAAACGGATGCTCCTACTTCGAAGAGTGAATATAAGGCAACAATTGCACCGGCAACAGCCACAAACCTATACAGTAAAAGGAATCAGCGAATTTGAACGCCGGAGAGCTAAAACTTCATCGACTCTCAACTCCGGATACTCAAAAGCATCGTGGTTATCAGTATAAAACCGGAAAAAATCAGTTAATTTGAACTCCGTAGTACTATAAACAACTTCATTTTATCAGTATTCTTCCCTTTTTTTTGGGCTAATAATGAGCAAATAATCCATCAAACTTCAACTCCGGAGTATTAAAATTGTTGCGTTTATCAGTAAAAGCAAAAGGAATCACCAATTTGAAATCCAGAGTACTACAACGATGCCGTTTTATCGGTATTCCAATTTGTTTGTATTTTTTTTTTTTTTGCTAAAGTGAGCTAAAAATCCATCAAATTTCAACTCCAGAGTAATCAATTTACAGTTAAATCGCGTGAAAGATTTTGCTGATGAGAGGAGGAAATCCATTAGAACAAAAAAACTACTACTATAATTACCTGAAGGCATCGAAGTGGTGCCACTGAGGCAAATCGGAGCCGCGGCGAGAATTAGTGAACATGAAGATAGCTGAGGCAAGCGAGAAGCAGAAGGAAGCAAACCGGAAGACGACAATCAAAATGTTGAACCGCCGGAGCTTGTGTACGGATACGCTGGAGTGGAAGTGCGACGGCGACGGAGTCTCAACGACGCCGTTTCGAACTTGAGGTGATCTCATCATCTCGATTCTCAACGGTGCATTTATAGGGTAACGACGGCGTTTTGAAGCTTTTTACTGTTTTGCTTCAATGGAGTAGGGTTTTGAAAGTTTCAGGACAATTACATGGCATAATTCCCTTGAAAGGATAGAGAGAAAAAAAGAAAGAAAAAAGGAATATGTTTTTGTAAAGATAAAGAAAGGAAAAGGTGAGGAAGATGACAAAAGGAATAACAGAGAAAAAAGTAGTTCCAATACTTATAAGAGGTACACTAAAATTGTGACGGAATGGTTGAGATTTTTTGTCCTCAGTCCGGAGGGTTTCACAATTAAGCAATTTTTTTTAATCTTGAGTTAAGATTGTTTAAAATTGAATCAAATCGATAATTTGAATTGAAAAAAATTTATTAATTTATCGATAATAGATTATTGATTTATGATTTTAGTAACAATTTTAATTTTTTTTAATTATCGAGTTATATGTTTTGTAATGGTTTGAGATTTTTCTTAACGGATTAATTGGTAACCTGGTCGTAAATTAATTAATTATATTTATATCATTCACTTTATAAAGTCCTAGACATAGGACTTAGTTTCATACTTTTATTTCTGGTTGTCTCAAAGTCTTGGTTATTCTACAATGTGCCAGTGTTTGTTTTTGAGCAAGATGCAATATGTCAACTCATGTGCACGGTTCATTTGGTTTGTCACCTTGTTTCTAAGTCATTTTCAAATTTTCTGTTTGTGTCAAATCTTAATGGCTAAATCGAAGCGAACCGATAACAATCAATAATTGACAAACGATAATTGATAAGACAATATCTTAATGGTTCTATAATGATTTAACACGTCCACAAATCGATAACCGATAAAGTTGAACCAATAAACTCCGAAACCAAATCGAATCAATCAATACACAACCATATCTTGAATAATATAAAAAAATTTAACCATAAAAATTCTTGTATTTTTCTTCAATCAAGTGTTTCCTTAACAATCTCGTATTGAAAATGATCGAGAACCATAAGTGAATTGTCGAGTAATGCACAATATTGTTAATGAAAATCTAAAGTCAATGATATATAGCTATTTCCAAAAATAAACTTCACAATATATGAATTTAAAGTTATTCGGATCTTGATTTCAAACACCGAATGAAAAAAACTACTAGTAAGTGTTTGTTTGGCAAGGGTATAGGAGAAAAAATTGTGGACTCTATTCAATATTTAGTTAGAATTTTTAATTTTGGGATAAATAATTATAATACTATATATTGCTTCCATTTTAATGGTGTCTTAAATTGATAGGTCATGAAAATGTAGAAGTAAGACATTTTTGACTTTTATGTTTTTACACAATAGATCATCAATATGTAATTTTTTACTATATAATAAAAGAGAGTTTATGATGGGACATTCTACTATTTACAAATGACTTAAAAAGTATCTTAATAAATCATTTACAAATTACTTAAAATATTTAAAAGATATATATATATATATATATTCTACTATATAATAAAAGGGAGTTTATGATGAGACATTTTATTATTTACAAATGACTTAAAAATTATCTTAATAAATCATTTACAAATTACTTAAAATATTTAAAAGATATATGATAAAATAGGTTGACTCTCAGAATTCTATCAGGGTCACATATATCGGGACATAAAAAATAACATATATCATTTTAAAATTACCAAAAAAGTATTATAAATAATAATAATTAACAACTTAAAATATCTAAAAAACATTTTAAAAGGGTTAATTTTGTAATTTTATCCATATCACATAAATCAGGACAAAGTGACCAGTAATGTAGGTTATTTGAAAGTTACATAAAAATATTATAAATCACAATAATTAATAACTTAAAAAATTTTGAAAAAAAATATGAAAATTTGGATGACTCTCCAAATTTCATTTGTGTCACATAAATTCAGACAACAAAAATAACATATATTGGGTCCATTTTAATTTATTTGTCATAAATCATGATAATTGACAACATAAAATATGTTTTGAAAAAGATACAAAAAATTCCACTGATTCTTGAAGTTAATCTATCGTAAAAATATTATAAATCATGATAATTGACAACATAAAATATTTCAAAAATAAATACATATAAAAAAAATTCGATTGATTCTTGAAATTAATCTATCGTTAAAAATTATGTATAAAATACAATAAATCATGATAATTGACAACTTAAAATATTTATTTAAAAAACACAAAAAAATAAATTGATTGATCTGTTTAGAAGTGACTTAAAAAGATAAATCATTTACAAATAACTTCAAATATTTAAAAGATATATAATAAAATAGGTTGACTCTCAGAATTCTATTAGGGTCACATATATTGGGACAGAAAAAATAACATATATCATTTTAAAATTACCAAAAAAGTATTATAAATAATAATAATTAACAACTTAAAATATCTGAAAGACATTTTAAAAGGGTTAATTTTGTAATTTTATCCATATCACATAAATTAGGACAAAGTGATCAGTAATATAGGTAAATTTAAATAACTCACTATATTTTATCTATATCACATATATTAGGTCAAAAAATAATAAATATTGAGCCCATGCGCTGCACGGGCTCTTCGTCACTAGTATTAGTATAAAATACAGTACATCTTTCTTTGTTTCTTCCTTTTTATAG